GACATGGCTATTAGTGGTAGGTGAGATTAAAACTTTTTTTGAGTACTATTTTTCCATGGTACTTTTTGGCCTCTCAACAAGTATATAAAAGAATGTCCCAAAGGACAGTAGCAATCAGACATATCAAATCAGCTAGGTTTTGCAAAGATTTTATTTAGTTTTTTAAAATCCTTTTCTTGTTCACAGTAAAAAAAAATTCTGTTTTGTCATCATCAATAGCATAGGGCAAGGCAATGGTAATTGACTAATAACTCTATACTCCAGTGAGATCATTTGAAGATGACCTGTGGTGGGTTGCAATGAAGTCTTTAGTAAATTAGTCTGGGTCCTGTAGTCATTAAAGATGCCAAGCTGTCAATGAAATTAATTGAGATTCAGTTGTTTGACACTACAAGATCAGATTTACAACAGGTATTTGGAGATTAGGTTCAGATGGAGATTTTGAGAAACAAATATTAACTACCATAGTCAATGGCATCAGAAAACAAATATAACCAACATAAACAAAGCAAATAACAAAATGTTTAAAGAAGGACTTTGCCAGTAAGATTTTCCTTAGGAAATTACTTGGGTTTTTGTTGTTATTGTTGCTGTTTTTTTGAAAAATTGCTGATGCTGTGGATAGATTTATTTCAGATACGAACTTTTATAAATTTTATCTGAATAACTGGGACTATTACATTAATATTTTTAAATAAATTGTTAATAGTAAAAGTAAAAATACCACATTCCACATTTCTCTTGCTTTATAGAATATAAGATAACTGACATACCTATCAATATTAAAGAATTACACTTATATGATTTAATCAGGTTGTTTTCTTTCTAAATCTTCAATTAATCTTACTTTACAGTCTTTCTTGTTGGTCTTTAGCATGCATATTATTGAACCTAGATTCATTTAACTACCTCCTGACATTGCTACTAATTTGACTTTATTGCTTTGTGAATAATGTATCCTTACAATATTTCCAATAATATGACTTTTCAGCTTAAATATTGCCATAGCTTTATTTAGTCTTTATTTACCAGTTCCCATGTCATTGATGATTTTGGGTTAAAATGCATTACCTTTTCATTTAAAACACAGTTCTATTCAAGTTATGTTTTCAAACTGAAGACAAAATTACCATCTACTGTACACCAGACATTGTGATTGAAAGAAAGACAAAGAATGCCCCTTCTATCAAAGACCTCACATGAAAATAACTAGGTATATATAAGTTGTATACAGAGTAGATGGATAGCAGTCTCATAGAGAAAATAGCTGAGGCAACTTCTGTAAAGGCTTTCTGTAAAATCTGGGATTTGACCTGAGTATTGAAAAAATCTATGGAAATTAAGAGGCAGTGGTAAGCATTCCACAATGGGGGTGGGGTGGGGAAATAGTACCAAAAAAAGAGACTGGAGAAGGAGTTTCCTATGGGAAGAATTAGAAGAAAAAATTATATTGTAGAGACTGAGAGAAGAGTCTATGAAGAAAGGTAAACTGTAAAAGAATAGGAATGATATGGTGGGATGAAGTTTAAATGCCAGAGAGATCTACATTTGAAACTAGAAGAAATTGGAAGAATTGCTCTGGGAGTGAGGAATGACGTAGTTATACCTACACTTTAGAAAAATCTAGTCAGCTGATAGATGGAAGACAGATGGCAATGGAGATACAAGGAGATAAATGAGTGATGAGGGCCTGAACTGGGGTCATAGCTGTGTGAGTAGACAAAAAGGAAGATAAAGGAGAGATATTGTGAAGGTAGAAGGACAAGATTTGGCAATGGATTGAATATGTGGGGTGAGAATGAGAAGTCAATGAAGACATTAAAGTTGTTGAGCTAGATAATCCAAAGATGTTGGTACCCTCATCAGTAATTGGCAGCTTGATAAGAAGAAATGATTTAGGGGGAAAATGAATTGTGTTTTGGACATGTTGAGTTTGTGAAGCCTATGGGACATCCAGTTCAAGATGTCCATAAGACAGTTATGTGGGAATAGAGTTATATGAGGATATATACGTATTTATAGATTTATACATGGATTTAACCTGCAGAGATGATAATTTAGCCTATGACAGTAGATGAGATTACCAATGAGATGAGTTATAAGAGATCATAGGATAGGCAAATAGGGAACACTGATGGTTAGGAGCATGACATGGATGAAGAAACAGCAAGGGAAACCAAAGATAAGGCCTATGCATAGGGCCTGCTGTTTCATACTGGGTCCAGTTATGCTTACTTTAGTCCTCCTCAATCATTTTCTCCTTAGCTGCCCTGCCGTCTAGGCAAGAAAAACCATGTCATGAGGATTTAACCCTTTCACTTTCAGAACACCCCTCATGGGGCCCTACTGTTATGGTTAGTGTTTCCTGATCCCCACTATATCACACTGGTCCCAGCCATGATTCATTTTATTCCCTAGTCATCTTCTAACCCAAAACCTTGCTACTCAGAACCCTATCACATGCCTCACCACCACCCTACCCCCATGCTTTCTAGGTCTGGAGCCATTAGCCAATCAATATAGCCATTACTCCTTGAAAGCTTTTGTTCATTTATAATCCTTTGACTTAATTCCTTAAAACTTTCAAAACAAAAATACCTCTCTTTATCAATTTCCTACATGTGTAGTGTACTATTAATAAAATGTAAGTATTTTGAGAGCAGGGACTCTTTCCTTTTGTGTTTGATATATACTCAGGGAGTATATATCCCTTTGAAATATCCATCAGTTTGTGAAATTAACAATATGAATCTTTGAATGACTATCTTTAATTATTGGAAAACTACATGTCATATTTAATTTTAATTATACTATACTGGTGCATATATTTATTTGTAAAACACATCAAAAACAAATTCACTGTACATTTATTATAAATAAAGAACAAATATGAATTAAAATATAGAAAAATAAATACTTAATTCATGAATATTGTTCTTATTTTCACTTCTATTCTCAAAGCTGATTTTTACAAGAGTTTTTCTTTATGCCTGATGTTCATAAATGAATATGTATATGCATTTCCACAAATAGGTGTGAAATAACAAGTTTTGTATTTCACACAAAGGAGTAATCTCAGCAAAATGTTCCAAGCTACCTACACCACTGACCAAAGCAGATGACATTAAAATAACTACTTTAAAGAACATAATTATAAACAGATACTCATGTCATAGAATTTGCTATGAACACTGCCCAGTGTTGGTTCTTCAGTGTACAATAAAGACATAGAAGCAGGCTTTAATATATTATGATTATTATGATTTTTATTTTGCAAAATATCTCACAATAATATTGTTACACAGCAGAAAAGAACAAAATTACACAGATTACTATCAATAAGAAGTACCATGGATTGAGAAAAAAAACTTGCCTTATAGTACATTTTCCATTTTGAGGCCTAATTTCTTACACTTGACATGATCAAAAACATTCAATATAAACAGAATTTAACAGCACTATGAATGCACAAGTAAGTTCTAAAAAGATAAAATTATTAAAGGAAAGTGGAGATAATTTTGCACACCATGCATCAAATAGATGTATTTGTACTCATTAGGGCTTTGTGATTACTGGAAACATTGCCATTTGGTGTTTAGTTCCTCTTTAACCAATAATTTGTCTATTAACACATTGCTTACATGAAATTTCCTTTGCTATTTAAGTGAGCTGATGTCATCTAATTCTTTGTAGACTTTGCCATTCACATATAGCCAGAGCATAGTAAATTGCTCCAGCATAGAACTAATTTTGCAACTAAAGGGTACTGATAGGCTACCATGTGCTTAGTTAGTGTCTTTCCAGTTTAGAAAACTTCAATGACTTATGAAGAGTATTTTTTTTAATTCAACAGACTTGATACCAATGAGTTGAATAGAGCAATCAGAAGAAATACACAGTGGCAGCATTCACTTAAACTCATACCTGCAAAGGAACCACTTAAATTAATATAGAGTTTATTTTAGTCTTTATGGGGATGTTTGTTAATATTTATCCAATATGAATTACTGATATCTTTGAATTTCAACACTAGAATTCTAAGAGAAATATAAAAACCTTTGGAAACAATACCAAAATAAGAAGTGGATCATCAAATTTGAAATCACATTTTAGGTTGGAATGGTTAAAGTTGGTAAATCTTAACTGGAGAACAGGGTGAGGAGAAAAATAGAATTCCTTTAAAAGAGCACCAAAGTTCTAACATTCTTTTTACCCTTTAGGTAAACTGATTAGGAAAATGCTAATGGTATAATAGTGATTAAATGTCTTACAACAAAACACAAAAGACAAATGGGGAAGCAAAAAAAAAATTCCTCAGAGTTTATAAATGTGATTAAACAGATGTCTTCACAATTACATATGTTATGTGCATAATCATTTAAAAACTATTTAAAAAAAAACTAATACTCCAAGATCCTTTAGTAATTACTGACCTTTTTATGTACCAAAGTATTTCTAGCTTTGGGACATTTTTGCTTCTTTGAGGAATCACCCATCCATTGCCTCTATATTCAAAAGAAAGCATTACTATTTCTTCTCAAAGGCACCATGGTATTGTGCCCTCAGTATCATTTCAATTTCAATCCTATTCAACAACAATGTGCTATCCAATTTAAAAAGTCACTTCAATGAGATTTCAGTACTTTATATATTTTGTAATTATGCCTTTCCTAATTTGCTCTTTTTCATTTCACCAAAAAACAGGGCACAATACATTTTCACACACTCACACACTCCTTCAACCTTCCCTTTATGTTATGGCACCTTTTAAATAAGATCTCTTTACAAAATTAGCCTGGTCTTTATTTTCTTTACAGAATATAGATTGGAATAACTGATTTTTTTTTCAACTTACAAAGTTAAATAAACCAAATTATAAGATAGTTTGCTCTTCAATAGTACCATTGAAAATTATATAAGGACAAAATGGCTTTATCTGAAAGTTACAAGGAAGGAGCATGGAAATACTACATATACTCGAATACTGACGTTAATCAGAGAGCGTGCAAATCAGTTTCTCTTTATTCAGATCACTTGAAATATTTGCATGTTTATAGAAAGAGTAGAGAGTTATTTGAATTTGATCACTGATGCAGTATGAGTTATTTTTCATATATTCCTAGAGCAGGATGTATGCTGTACATATATATACATTAACTTGTCAGAGCACAGACATTACAGTGTCATGCTTTCATTCAAAATTAAGACGCTGCATTTCATTACAATCTCACGGCATCAAAATGCAGTATATTGCTTCAAAAATGCAAATGATTTCACAGACTGGCCTTTGTGATTGAGAAGAGAAATAATGAATGGTTTTATATTTTACACAAATGGACAAAAATACATCATAAATATATCGACCAATATATAACATTGAAGAACAAGAAACAGAAAGGAAACAATGCCCTTGCATAAAGATCAATTCTCTTTGCTGCTGTTGGAATTACTGGTTTGGCAGGGGGAGGCTTCTTGTTGTTCTTTGCCTGGGATTTCCCCAGCCCATTGTTGACTTCAATGGGTTTTCCATAACAGTCATAGTTGGACAATTCGAAATCTCTAGGTAAACTACCAACAATGCTGAAGTCATTTGATCTCAGGTCAGATTTGGAAGTACAGACTTTTTTGCATCTGGTTTCACCAACCTGATAAATAAAGAGTTGTAGACATAACATGCTTAGAACTTTTTCCATTCATAAGTAAAGTATCTTTGTAGAGTACACATTTTGAGAAAACTTAAGAAAAATATAGCTATTACATTAAGAATTTGTTAAATTCTCCCAGCTTTCTTTTGAGCAAAAAGAATCAATAAGCAACTGATTGAATTGTTAAATTGGTTGAATACTTATGTCTTCATAGCACTGCCTACATGAGGTTATTTATGCTATAAAACAAACCATTATACCCACATAAATCATCAGCATTTCTATTTACTACCAACAAAACTCAGTAGCAAGATGCAGAATGAGAAATTCCAATTTAAAATAATGACAGACAATATAAAACACTTGGGAATCTACCTGCCGACATAAATTCCAGGATTATGTGATCACAATTAGAAAACACTTCAAAAACTGGAGAAATATTAATTTCTTATGGGTAGGCCAAGTCAATACAATAAAAATGACAATTTTACCTAAGTTAATTTATTTATTGAGTGCCATATCAATCAAACTACAAAATACAAAATTTTATGGCACTAGAAAAAATATTAACAAAATTCATGTGGAAGAAAAAATAATGCAAGAATAAGAAGAGAATCAGGGACAAAAATGTAAAAGAGGGTGGTTTAGCAGTTTCAGGTTTCAAACTCTATTACAAAGTAGTAATCATCAAAAACAATCTGGTATTTGCTAAGAAAGAGAGTAGTAGATCGGTGGAAAAGATTAGGAACACAATACGAAGTACTAAATGACCTTAAAAATCTAAAATGGCCTTTAAAAGATTCAATCTAAAATGACCTTAAAACTAAAATGACGTTAAAAAGATTCAAGCTTTTAAGGTAAAAACTCAATATTTGATCAAAATTGCTGGGAACGCTGGCAAGCAGTTTTGCAGAGACTAGCTATAGACCAACATCTCATTCTGTATACCAAGATAAAGTCAAAATGGGTAGATGATTTACACATAAAGGGTGATATAATTAAATTTGGGAAGCATGGAAAAATCCATATCAGCTCTGTGGATAATGATAAGAGTTTATGGCAAAATAAGATATACAGAGCATCACAGAATGTAAAATGGATAATTTTGATGACATGAAATTAAAAAGATATTGCACAAATAAAATGAATGCAGCCATATAAAAAAATCAGAAAACCGACGCTGATAAATGCCTCATTTCTCAAATATATATATATACATATATGTATACGTATATATATGAGAAATGAGGCTTTCTTAAATAAATATATATATATATGTATATATATATTTTTAAGAAATGAGGCATATATACATATACATTCATACATATATATGGAAAGAGAGAGAGACAGAGAGAGAGACAGAGAGACAGAGAGACAGAGAGACAGAGAGAGAGACAGAGAGAGAGAGAGAATGAAACTAAGCCAAATTTATAAAAATAAGAGACATTCTCCAGTTGGTAAATGGTCAAAGGATATGAATTGGCAGCTTTCAAAAGAAGAAATCAAAGTTATCAATAGTTACATGAAAAAAATGCTCTAAATCATTACTTATTAGAGAAATGCAAATTAAAACAACTCTGAGATACCACCTCCCTTTTATCAGATTAGGTAACATGATAGAAAAGAAAAATGACAAATGCTAGAAATGTAGAAAATTTAACACACTAATGCATTGTTGGTGGAATTGTGAACTAGTTCCACCATTCTGAAGAACAATTTAAAACTAAGCCCAAAGGGCTATAAAACTGCATACTCTTTGACAGAGCAGTAACACTACTAGGTGTATATCACAAAGAGATTTAAAAAAGGGGAAATGACCTATTTGAACACAAATATTTATAACAGCCCTTTTTGTGTTAGCAAAGAATTGGAAATCAAGGGGCTATCCAGCAATTGGGGAATGGCAAGGCAAATGTGGTTCATGATTGTGATGGAATACTATTGTGCTATAAAAAAATGAGCAGGATGGTTTCAGAAAAACCTGGGAAGATTTACATGAACTAATGCAAAGTGAAGTCAGTAGAACCCATTTTATATAGTAACAGCAGTATTGTAAGGATGATCAACTGTGAAAGACTTAGCTTTTCTGATCAAGACGATGACCCAAGACAATTCCAAAGGACTCATGATATAATGCCATCCATTCTGGAGAGAGAACTGATGAACGCTGAGTGCAGAATGAACTTTTTTTTTTTGTACTCTATTTTTGTTGTTTTATTTTGTTTGAGGAGTCAAAAATCAATATGGTTTATATAGAAATATATTTTGCATGACTTCACCTGTATAATCTATGTCAAGTTAATTGCCTTCTCAAAGAGGGGGAGAGGAAGGAAGAATGCAAGAATTAGGAACTTAGCATCTTAAAACATGATTGTTAAAATTTGGGAAATATTAACAAAATCAATAAAAATAAATTTTTGAAAAACCCTAATGAGATTAATCTATTTTATCATTACAGAGTGACAAAAAACATTTATCATCAACACATTGTTGCTTGTAAGAATTCCAAGTAAGAATTCCTATAAGCTGAAATTGTGTATTCAGGGGAGATATGGAAAGTATTTCTACCCTGTCCTGACACTAAGATTCAACCATGACCCAGCGCTGTCTCCATTCAGGTTGATGGATTGCAGATATCATCCTGTACTTTCAATCTTTGGCTTCTTTATTGAGACTGTTTCAAGAGATGTCAGCTTCTGGGACAAAGGGTTCTTTCCATTAGGTGACTTACATATATTATTCTTATCAAAAGATATAAAGTAAAAAGACTTTCACAACTTATTATCAACTGAGTGAATTAGTTGCCTTAAGGGGGGAAACATTTAACTCTATCATCAATGAACAGTATGTTGTATAAAATATACAAATTATATCACTAATTGAATTCAATTCAGTTTAACAAAATTATCAATTGCCTACTACATGCCAGACATCATTGTAATTTATTAAGAATACAATAATGAAAACCAACACAGTTCCATAATCTACTAGAAGTATATAACATATAGACTGATATATATGATAAAAGGTAGAATGTGAGAGGGGCAAAAGGAACAACCTGACAGAGTGTTCTGATCATATCACAATCATTAACTTATTAGACTTTTAATTATAAATTTGAATAGTTGCCCTATAACCTAGAAATAAAGCATTAAAAATATCTATTATTTAGATTAATGTGTTTGGAGAGTACATCCCCTTTACTCTAGTTTTTTTTTTTGATAGATTTTTTTTTAATGATAGAACAGTTAAGTCCCAATTAGTGCAAATAATGAATCACAGCCACACATATTTGAATTTGCACTATTTAAGCTTATGATTGTATGAAATATTGTCAACAACAATACCACTTCATGGGTATTCATTATTTGCCTAGTCATCACTTCTCGGTATTATAACAAATAGTAAAAAAAAAATGTCAAATTTTCCCCTGCCTTACAGTACTCTTGGACTATAAGTGAGGGACCTCAGAACACTGTATTAGCTCTTTAGCTATTTTAATTTACTGCTATTGAGAAATGAAACATTCTGTATTTGAATGACACCCCATTTTTTTATTACATGACCTTCAAAATTAGAAACCTGGATACTTCAACAGATCTGTCACCTCACTGATGTGAGCAGTCTTTCCAATAGTGATTGTAACTCATCCATCTCTCCTCCTCTCTCTCTCTCTCTCTCTCTCTCTCTCTCTCTCTCTCTCTCTCTCTCTCTTCCAAACTTCCAAATTCTCCTTTCCCTCAGGCCACTGAAATAATTCAGGCCCTCCTCACCTCTTGCCTGGACTATTGTAATGACTCCTTAATTGATTTTCCTGTTTCAAGTCTTTCCCCTTTCCAATTCATCCTTCACACACTCCCAAAGTGATATCCCTAAAGCACAATCCTAACCATGTCACCCTCCTACTAAAAAAAAACTCCAACTGCTCTCTATTGCCTCTTGGATAAATATTAATTCCTCTCCTTGGCAATTCCCAGTCTGCATCCAGTTTACGTTTCCAGACTTATTATATGTCACTCATCTATGACTCATCTAAACTGGTCTACTTCCTCTTCCTTACATAAGGCATTCCATCTATCTCCATTATACAGAGGTGGAATATTCCTGGAATATCCCCCTTTTGCCTCCTGTTATACCTAGTTATCCCAAATCTCAGGTCAAACACCATCTCCTGCTCCCCATTACTGCTTCTTCTCCTACCTCCCCAAATCAACTTATATTTACTTTTTTGACTTGCTTTGTAAGTACCCAGCTGTGCATTGTTTCTGTCAGGAAAATGCAAGCTCCTCAAGTACAGGGACTGTTTCATTTTAGTCTTTATATTCCCAGAACTTAGCACAGTGCCTAGTACATAGCAGGTGCTTATTAAATTTTTATTGATAGATTGTGGACTTTATTAAGCTAGGATTTTTTCAGAGGAGGGGAGGACAGATGTATGATATCATTTATACAGGAGACATTTGATAAGGAAATTTCCATTGTCAGTACAGATGTACACCTGCTTTGCAAAATATAGTAGTAAAGAAATGTTTTGTCTAGAATCACACAGAAATATGGATCAAAGGCAGACTTGAACTCCTTTCTTCTGAACTCTGAGGCCAACTATGACATGTTGCTTTCTCCACTGAAGATTTTAAAGTTATGTAATTCTCAGTGCTAGAGTTTAGGGACCAAGATAATCATTGCTCTTGCTGTAAAAGTCATAGATCTGAAATTGAATTGAATCTTCTCTAGGTTTGAAGGTGAAATGATTCTGTACTATATGTTGGCATATTCTCTGAATATAAAATGTGTATAATTGCATTGGTATGATGATTTAGATATTGAGTTAGATCCAACCACCTTCCACCATCTGGAATCTTCAATTTCCAGGGGAAGCAATTATATAAGATGAAACACACACACACACACACACACACACACACACACATATACACACAGGCACGCAAGCATGCAAACACACGCACAAATGCCCACATGCTTTCTTTAACATTGTGATTGAGAAGGGTGCCTAGTTACTAACTCAGTGCCCCATTTTGTCACTACTATTAGTATAATGACATGTTGTAATAGGCTTTCATAAGGAGCAACTATTATTATCTAGTTTGTAATGAGACTTGATAACTGAAGATACTGATATATTCTGAAATATTAGAACCCTCTTAGACTCTTTTGGGATTCTTAGAATCCAGAAAACTGGGCTTCAAAGTCTTCAGAGGAATCCTGACCTATTTGTCTCAGCCTGTAATCTCTCTGCTTCACATTACAAGAATATAAGATTAAGTTCTTAGAATCTACTCAGTCAAAATAAAACTCTAGAATTATATTGCATTCTGCTAGTAGACATCTGACAAATATTGTTTCTAAGCAGTAGTTATCTCTTTTTTATGTTCAAGGCCAAAACTAAGAAAACACTAGTATAAATTCTAGTGCTTTTGTGTGGGCACAACTTTGCTATCTGTAAATACCTAGAGGATAAGGGTCAGTTTTAAATGTCACAATACCCAAAGCCAGAGTAAGTTATTTCAAAATTTAAATTGCATTTCCCTTAAACAATTGTATCTTTTAATATTCTGAAGAATTTTTAAGATACAACTCTGTAGGCTCTCATCTCTAGGACTTCTCAAGCTTCCCCACTCTAACTCATCATTGATTCAGGTATCAAAATGATCTTTCTATAATGTGGGTCTGATCATATAACTTTTCCTCCAATTCAAAAATTCCAATGGCTACCTATTACCTTCAGAGTCAAATACAAAACCTTTTCTTTGGCTTTTAAAGGTCCTCATAACCTGACCTTTTCCTACCTTTCCAGTCTTCTCATACTTAACTCTCCCTCCCCACCCCTCGCTATGTACTCTAAGAGTCAAAGAAACTGGAAATTTGCTGTTCCCCACATACAACACTGGATTTTTTTTCCTGGCTGTCCCTCATGCCTGGAATGTTCTCCCTCCTTATTTCTACCTCCTGGTTTCTCTGTCTTCCTTCAAATCTAAAGTTAAGCCCCATCATCTGCAAAAAGCCTTTTCAAATTTCCTTAATTTTAATACTTTCCATCTGAAACCACTTCTGATTTATTCTGTATGTATCTTGTTCATACACAGTTATTTGTATATTGTCTCTACTCCATTAGACTGAGTTCCTTGAGAACAGATTTTTTGTTTTGTTTTGTTTGCTTTTAATATTTTGTTTCCCTGGTGATTAACACAGTGCCTGTCAGATAGTAGAGACATAGTAAATACTGTTTGAGTGATTGATTTTATATATATATATATATATATAATTTATGCAAAGTCTATTCCAAATACAAATTTGTTATGCTATCATTCTTACATGGAATGGGAAATTATTTAAATATAGTAAACATAACCTTAAGAACACAAAGTGATAATGCCAGTTAACCTAAAAGTTAGTTATTATGAAGGCTGAGATGCCTTGTAGTAAAAATGGATGTTGTCAATTCTCCTGGAGAAGTTTGCGAATTTCACCTTCATATTTCATGTGGTTTTTATGTAACTCAAAAACTTTAAAAGAAGACATGTTAGATGCTCTATTTACATTTGGATATGGCTTCTATTAGCTACAAGGAAGTAAAGAAAGAATTCCAAAAGAAAAGTAGTAATAATATCCAAAGAAAAACACATGTAGGAATCAATTATTAGCACCAAGTAAGAAAACTATTTCTCAGTAACACAAAACTGACAAAACCATACTTAGAGCACACACTTACAAGGTGACATCACATATGTTTAATTCAAATGTTATGTTTTTCTATTGTTCCTCCTTGAGAAGTGTGGGACTTGTTTTCCTTTCTCTCATAAATTTCTGTCACTTCCCAAAATTTCTGTTAGCAGAAATTCAGCATTGTGATAATGAGTTATTGAAGGATCACGTGTGAAATAAAAATAAATGCTCCAATGGGTCAAGTTATTTCCTTCACATTTTCAAACCTGGGCCCTTTTGCTTTGAACATATCAAAAAAACTGTTAGGCAAAATAGAGTTCATGCTAAACAGAAATATTAGTATGTTGGTACAGTATATAAAATCATCTTTAGATCTTTCTTGATCTTGAAACGTAGCATTCTGCAAAGAATTTTATCAGCTGTAGTTGGGTTCTGATTTAAGAAACCAGAGTCAGGCAAATAAATACCTTATTTTATGCACATATAAAGAAAGGACTGTGTTTCCCATCTGATTCAATAGGTAGAACCTGTGATTTCATCAGCATGGGGAGCTCCCAGTGTAGAATTTCCCTCTGATAATGCAAATCACCCACTTGACCTCTCTATTACTTAGTGTATAAGTCCTAGGAAGTTATCTGAGACACACAAAGCCTAAATGATGTGTCTAGGATCACAGCCAGTATTAACGATGAATTCAAATCCAAGTATTCCAAATTCAAATCCTAGCCCTCCGTCTACTGTACCATGATGCTTAAAGATAGCTGAATTAGTAAAGAACTGGCCAAAACACAACCATAGTAAAAGCAGAAGGACAATTTGGTTATACATTTATCTGTGCATGGCTGCAAAATTCTGAAGTACAATACAGAGTCCACATTTTTAGGATTTATATTTAAAAATACCACCCTAAAAACAGGATAGATATAAACTACCATATATAACTTTTTTCTGTCATCTTTCATTTTCTCAATAGTAACGGCATTTTTCTTTTTTTTATTTTGTTTTGTTTTGGTTAGTCAATGGGGTTAAGTGACTTGCCCAGGGTCACACAAGCAGTGAATGTTGCGTGTCTGTGGCCGGATTTGAACTCAGGTTCTCCTGAAGGAGCAGCGTTTTTCTTAAATTGGCTTTACATCCAGTTTCCAACTGCTATTGCTCCTCAATGTAATTATTACTATTACTATTTTGAGAAGTGATTATAATTCAATTTTGTGTTATTATGATTGACATTATTAAGCAACACTTGTATTTCGGAAGATGACAAGAAATTCCTGAAAAGAAAACCATAATTGTATTTTCACATCAAAGATGCTAAACCAAGACAATATTAAGTATTTGTGCAACCAAGTTGCATCTATAGTTGTCATGGGGTTACTTCTTAACATATCTCAAAATGATTTGCAGTCACATGAATCTTTTACTTTCAGCTTATACTGAAGGGAGTCTAAATTAACTTATCCTCACAAATTTTCATCAAGGTACAAATACATACATACATACATACATACATACATATATATATGTGTGTGTGTGTGTATATATATATATATACATATATATGTATATGTATATATATATATATATATATATATATAAAACTACTTTCTGTCATTCAATAATAATAATGCTAAATTACATTTCTCCCAGAAAAAAAACACAGATCTCCTATAAATACTCTAACATGATTTTAGCTTTAAAAGTCACTGGCTTGTTTCAGTACTAACATTTCACAGTGATTTCAAAACCCATATGCCTATTGTTCTGGTAGCCCAAGAGTACCATGGCAAGTAGAGAATTGAAATGCTGAACTACTTAAATTGTTTATACTACTTAGTGGTGCCAATTAGCTTGGTTTGAAAGAAGTTCTACAAAAAGAAAAGTAAAAATAACATCACTGAGCCCATGAGTTCAATGATCTCAATTGTTATTTTCCATGTACAGCTGTGGCAAACATATTCATTTCATATATTATGAAAAACTAGGAAAATTTTTTCCTAGGAATTATGGTCCTTATGGTTGCAAAATACCTGTTGCCTGATGACTTTTATTAAGCAACTTAACCAATTAAAGTTCTTCTTCCTTCTTTAGCTTTACTGCAACAAACAATAGACTTTGGGGAAAGAAGTTCATTTTTCTCCTTTACTTTTATTTTCAAAATAACTATTTGTTTTGCTTTTTTGTTTTTTTCCCCAACAAGCAGTGTTTTAGGTAGCAAGTGTTATTTTTGTATACACTTTTCATTTTATTCTTAGTATTGAGTCATTGGCAGCTAGATGTTATACTGAAGAAAGAACTGGACATGAACATAGAAAACATTTAATTCAAATCCCACCTCACACATTTACTAGCTCATTATCATTGGACAAGTCACATTGGACAAGACAAGAAGGGTTACCTTCTATGCCTCAGTTTTCTCATGTGTAAAATGATAAAAATAATAACACCTTTCTCATAATGCTGTGGTGAAGATCAAATTAGACACTGTATGTTAAGTGCTTTGCAAAGCTTAAAGCACTATAAATGCTAGCTATTCTGTTTTTTGTAATTTTAATTTCTAAGGATAAACAACTGCACAAAAAGTTCCACCAAGTCCTTTGTACCAATAGAAATAATGTCTTTCCATGAGGTCCAAAAGAGAATGTGGAAAGTCCTTTACCTGAGTAAAAGCACCCTCACCTGTAAAGTGCTGATGTGAACAGGAGTCCCTGTACCATTGACTGTGTTCTTCTTAGCTGCATTTCCACCTTTCCCTTCTGCTTGCTCTGCCTTGGCAATCCTTGCTTTCTCTGCTTCAATTCGTTTGGGATTATTTAACATCACCTGAACCACAGCATACTCTACCAGTGATGCAAACCCAAAGAGAAGGCAAACAATTAGCCAGACATCGAGGGCCTTCACATAGGATACTTTGGGAAGTTCAGCAGCAAGTGTGGTACATTCAGATGCCAAGCTGAGGACTGAGAAGATACCTTTAAAAGAAGAAATTTGAGGTGTAAAAATTAATAATTTTTCTGTATTTTTTGTCATTCTCAACATTACACAACTCATTGTCCATAGTGACTTTACCAATGTGTCATTTAAATAAGAAGTACAAATCTGTAGCCAGAGATGATTGAATGTGCTTTGTAAATACTTTATTATTTTAAGAAATAAAATAGAAAATTTGAATCAAATTATTTTAAAATGTATAGACCTGGTTTAAATCTATTAAAATCTTATTTTATTTTCATGTATCCCTATTTTAGTGTATCCCTATTAAATGTGTGTGTGTGTGTGTGTGTATGTTTACAGTATATAACAGGATATCCAGTTATTTACATTATCTGAATTTTCACTTATTTTCTGACTAAATCTAGTAGTACCATTTTATCCTACCTCCTGAATCACATAAAACTGATTTCTAGCAAAATTCCTAGTAAACAGACATAATAGATGTAATTTATTAAGTGGCAAAAGAGATTTTTTAAAAAAAGATTATGGAGAAAATATCTAATTCAATCTTTTGAATCTATTTGACACTATTTGACTCACTATTTTATAAAAACTGGGATAACAGAACAGCAGACTGGCAGAAATTAGGGTTATATGAATAATATCTCACAGTACACATCAAGAAAAGCTTCAAATGGATACATGACCAAGATATAAAAAGGTCATACTATAAACAAATTAAAGGAGTAAAGCAACAGTTATCTTTTAGATCTATGAAGAGTTTGAGACTAAACCAGTGATAGAATCACACAATGATAAAAAGGACAAGTTTAATTTTATATGTATATATGTATATATATGTATATATGTATATATATATATATATACATATATACACATATATATATATATATATATATAAATAAATTGCACAAATAAATCTTATGTAGGAAAAACAAGATGGAGTACAAGTAACTGGGGGGAAATTTCATTACAATTTTCTCAAATAAAGGTCTCATTTAAAAGTATATAAGGAACTGATTCAAATGTCTCAAAATTAGGAGTCATTCCCCAACAGACAGTTAAATGATGTTAACTCAAATTTTTCAAAGGAAAAAAATCAAGTTATAAACAGTTACATGAAAAAATACTATAAATGAACAATAGAGAAATGTAAATTAAATCAACTTTTCCACCTCTATCAGAGTAGCAAAGATAACAAAAGAAGAAATTGATAAATGCTGATAGGGCTGTGGGAAAACAGGAACATTCATGCAGTGTTGGTGGAGCTGTGAATTGGTTCAATAATTCTGGAAAGCAATTTAAAAATGTGCTCAGAAACTAAAAACAAACAAACAAAATCAAAGAAAAAAACTTTGCTATACCACTACTAGTGCCACACATTATAGTAATCAAAGAAAGAAGGAAAGGATCCATATGTACAAACATATTTATAGCAGCTGTTTTCATGTTGGAAAGTATGGGATTATCCTCCAACTGGAGAATGAAAAAATAAGTTGTTATATATGAATTGCAATACAATATTATTGTGAAATAATTTCAAAGGAAACTAGGATGGCCGTTGGGAATTGGTAAAAAAGCAAAGTGAGCAGAACTAAAATAACAATTTATACAGTGATAAGAACATTATAAGGAGAACATACTTGGAAAGACTTTAGAATGCAATGCAATGCAATGATAAGCATGAATCCAAAAGAGAAAATGAATCATGCCATTCATCTCTTGGCTGAGGGATGAATCGAAAATTCAGGAAGAGACATACATTTCTGAACATACTTAATGTAAGCATCCTCAGTTGATGTGTGTGAGGGGAAAGAGGGGGGAAAACATAATTTTTAATACTTGAAAAACAAAAATAATACACTATCAACAACAAAATTCTGCTTTGCACATATTAGGAAAACAATAACAAAATAATAAATTATTAAAGAACTCTGAAAATAACTGGAGTTTATGGCTAATGGAATTGGAGAATAATGGGTAGTGGTGAGCAGCACAGGAAGCAGCTCCTGGTGTCAGCAGTGGAAAGTAACACCCAGGTTGGAGCAGGCTTGCAGAGAGCAATTCAATGACATCTGTAGAAGACAGGGGAATTTTTAGTGTTGGATTCATAAGTTGTTCCTCTGTGTATCTGAAATGCTCACACCTGTCCTCTGAATTTACATCTCCTCATATATTATACACATGTTGGTAACAATTCTTTAAAATGTCCACTTTTCCCAGTTAGTATATATGTACTTGTGATAATTTAAGGTTTATAAAGAAGACAATGTTACATATTTCCTTTGTGTGTATTTCTATTAATTAAAATTCATTGTGAACCAACTAATTTTATCAGTAAAGAATTTAAAAAGCATGAAGACATAAAAAGCTCAGGAGTGATGGTTTGGAGACTGTATGATTCTTTGAACTTGGAATAGCTAACTAGAGAACTCAGTGTTGGTCAGGTCAGAGGAGAGAGCTGGGGACTACATTAGTAACAAATATTCATATCCCTTAGTAATAGCAAGTATTGTTAGATAAACTGAAATATCTTAGTATGTGATATCCTGGAAGAAAAATGACAGATGGAGTCAAAACACAATAAGGAATTCAATAATTTAATATTGAAGATACATATCCTTCATTTATACCTCTCAAATAGGAAATATTACCAAATGAAAACTATGAAATTATCAACAAGTCAGTGAAGAAGCTTTTTTGTTATTTTTTTTAACATTATTGAGAAGAAATATGAAGCCTGAACATACAACCAACTATTCACAAAAATGAGACCTATTTCAAAGATAAATTTCTTTGAAATGTCAAAAAAAAACATTAAATGATTAATACTTTGTATGAAGTATATTTTCCTATACATTTGGAGTGAAAGGAGTACAGGAAGATGAAGGAAAAGAGGGGGGGAAGAAAAGAAGTCTTTGGAAATATGTGGTGAAAGATAACAATCCTCAAGATAAATCTATCAACTATATGTCCTGAAATAATAAATCTGTTCAAATAATGAAAATTTATTAACAAATGTCAAGTTATGCTATTGTTATTCTGGTTCACCAAGAGCAACAATGTATGTTTCTAACAGAAAGGATAAACATGAATCTCGAAGTGTATAGTTATCAAGCATACTTTAATGTGCCATTAATAATTGAAATTTGTCCTCATATTCTATTGTCCATTTTTAATTTCTCCAATGTTATCAACAGAATCACCAATCTTATGTCCAATATCCCCTTTTCTCTTTAGTTTTCAAAATTGCATTCTCATGTCCTACTGGTATTTTAGAAAGGAAAAAAAATAATTTCAGCAATTTAATATTTGCAAAGAGCTAGGCAAATGTTTATTTTTGCAAAGCACTACGAAATTGCTAGTTATTAACACAATTATCATTATTTACTGACACTGACAACTTGAGATGATTTGGATTTAAATCTGGCTTCTTCATTTTCTAGCTAGATAACTTTGGGCAAATTATATGTTTTCTCTGGGACTCAGTTTCCCCATTCTATAAAATGAGGATGTTTTGATCATTTGTTTCAATCATGTCTGAGTCTCTGTTGCCCTCATTTGGAGTTTTCTTGGCAAAGTTACTGGAGTGGTTTGTCGTTTCCTTCTCCATATCATTTTTAGATGACGAAACTGAGGCAAACAGGATTGAGTAAGTTGCCCAGGGTCACACAGCTTAGTAAGCATCTGAGGCCAGATTTGAACTCAGGAAAAAACAAGAGCCTTCTTGACTCCAGACCCAGCACTGTATCCACTGCGCCACATAGTTGCCCTTAAAATGAGGATAGGGACAATATTATCTCTAAATTATGTTGCTCCAATAATTTAACTTCTTATCTCTAGTCTAGCCCTTCATATAGCCTCATAGGCCCAGTGCCTTGACCTTCTAATTTATCTTCACATAGATCATCAAACACAATTCCCATCTATTGTTCAGTAATTTTCTGAATCCTCATTAATCATCATATAAAATCTAAAACACTTTAATTTGTCTTTTCATATCTTTTCACTTCTTTTACCAACTTTACCCCAAAATGTCATTTCCTATTTCTCCCCTTTTCAGAGTTGCTATTTGGGTTGAAGTGCTTGTTAAGAATTTTCCACACACACCTGACCTATTCTGAAATGGATGTTTTTACACATATATCTCATTAATTGAATGTCTCTCTTCTCTCTATTAATTCATGTCAGTCAACACTTTTAAAACATGACTGATTCATGCGGCTATCTCCAGGGATCCTTATTGGATTATCACACTCATTTCCAGCCTTCATCCAGCACTTTTGAGAGTATAATATGAGCAACTTTGACAAAGTTAAATATGTGAAACTGCCCTATAGTTATGTTTCATAAAACACGAAAGATACTACAACATTTATTTATTTTGACCACCCTGTTATATTTAATATGATTTCAGTATATGTTCCTTGCCTGCTTTCACTTAAGTTTTTTATGAGAAAAGAAAGTTGTTGTTTGTTTGTTTTGTTTTAAGGGCATCAAATTGTGAAGAGAAAATAATACAGCTGTACTAGTCTGTGTATTCATTCTAGATTTCAAATCAAATATCAATTGCCATATTACATCTAGCCTAGAACACTGGTGACCTGAGGTGAGTTTTATTTTATTCATACTTTGACAAAGTGTTTTCCCGAAAATAAGCAACAGCATGAAAACAGAACAATTTTTTTTATTTCTAGACTTAAGGTACTTCTTCAGTCCCAAATATAGGCATAGATAGATAGATAGATAGATATGTGTATGTGTCTATATAGACACACATATATATGTGTGTATGTTCAAATATGTATGTGTGTATACGATTATAAACATAATATACATACATATAATTTAAAACTCACCATTTTTGGCCACTAATAACTACAAATATGATTTTGGCATTCTATTTTTTGCATAAGGCTGTTTCACAAAGAGGCAAAAATGTAATTTAAATTACAGGCTAAAATGAAACTGATTTGTAACTTTAACTACAAAATAATGGGGGTCAGTCTAAGATGCT